GAGCTTCGTTGCATCAACTGGACAATCTTTGGGAAGTTGACTCAGTGGAAGTCGGCCTCTTCGGGGAACACGATGGTGTCGAATGAGGCATCCAGCTCGGATCTCCCAGTAATCGGTCTCCTTGTCAGAGAGCTGCAGGAACCCGTGTTCGTCCATCCTCCACCCCGTAGGCAACATCTTCGTGTCCAGGTCATCGAGGTAGAAGGCTTGTCCTGCAAGATCATCTGTTGCTGGTGGTGTCGGTGCTGAACTGCTGTGCTCTGCATTGTATGGTGCAATTGCTGCATGTGCAGGTCGTGTTCGCCAGGGTGCAAAGCTTAGTGTTTCCTGCCGATTGAGGCGTGTTCGCCTTTGTGCAAATGTTTCTGCCTCATGTTGTGGTTCATAAAGTGCGGCTGTTGCCGGATCAAGCTGGGGTCGTGATGCATGAGGTGTTGGCTGAGCGGATTGAGCCGGTGGCTCTTCGCTTGGCTCAGAAACTGAGTCCAGCTCACTGGGAACTCGTGGCAACATCTCAGGATCTGTCGCGGTAGTGCCAGGGTTGTTTGTATCTGCAGCTGCCGCGGTGCTTGTTGCTGTGTTCTGTTCTGCTTGTGCTATATTCTGTTCTGCTTGTACTGCCTGTTGTTCTGCCATTTGCTCTGCCAGTTGTGCTACTGCTGAGTTCGCTGGTGATGTAGGTGTGTACTCCCCTGCTGCTACCTGTGGCGGTGCTTCGGGTGCATCTGGACGTGGTGCATCAGGTAGTAGCAGTCGTGGTCTCTGTCGGGGAGGTGCCATCTCGTGTTCAGAGTCTTCCATCACATCACCATCAGGATCATCATGTTGATCGTCAGATTCGATCTCAGCCAGTGTCCTCTTGTTGAGGCGGTGGAGGTCATAGTAGCGAGTGACCCCACGTGAACGAAGCTGCTGAACCGTGGACAGGGCTTGTTGAGCATCATCCAAGGCATGGCCAATGCTTTTGATGTCTGCACGCACATGGTGAGGCGCACATCGAATGAGCTGTGTCTTGTAGGCCAGCCAATACACGTGGACACGCTGTTGACCTTCAGAATCAGCCTTGTGCTCTTTCATCACAACCTGAGCGGGTCCAAGCCAACGAATCTTCACAAGATCAGGTTGTCGAGCATCTCGCCAAAACCAAACCTTCTGGCCCAGGCTGTACTCAGCGTTCAGGCCACGGTACTTTGCTCCAAGCGCCCTGCGAAGACGGCGGTCAGCATCTGCCTCGATCATGGCCTTTTGAGCTGTAGAGCGACGGGCCAGGTTGATCTCAAAGTCCTCGTGGCCACCAAACTGTGCAGGGTTCAAACGCTCTGTCAGCAGGCTGCCTGACAGTTGAGGCTGATAGCCCAAGACCCACTGGCTAGGTGAGAAGCCAGACACAGAGGTGACTGCATTCAACTGAGGAACCACATAGACCAGGGCCTCTTTGATGCCAGCAGCATTGAAGTGCTTGTACTCGTCGCAGTAAACCTCGAGAGCCTTGCGAAGAACTGCATGGCGTCTCTCCACGATGGACAACCTTTCATGGGCCTCACCAGGGGCGACTTCATGGAAGATGTCGTGACCTGCTGTCCACTCTTCAAATTCACGACTGAGCCACCCTCGTCCTTCGTCGGTGATCAGGTGCTGTGGAGGTCCAAACATAGCAAGCCAGCCACGTTGAAAGGCTTTCACCAGTTCCTCAGACTGTTCGTTGTGCAGCAGCATGGCCACAGTGAAGCGAGTTGCAACATCAACCATGCTCACGATCGGGAACTTGGTCGAGCCCCGGCGTAGCCAAAAGACATCAGCCTGCACGGTCTGGTTGAAGGTCGCTGTTGTCGGCATCGCAGCAGGTGCAGCATCAGCAGGCTTCTTGTACTTGGCGCAGGCGACACAAACATAGGTTCTCGCTGCTTCAAGGACCTGATCACTGGCACCACGAGCGGCAAGTAGCTCTTCAAGCTCTTTGGGTGCAGGATGACCAAGGTTACGATGCAGTTTCTGAACGGTTCGAATTGCATCCTGCTTCACCGAGGTCCGCAACTTGAGAAGGTTGCCAGCGACCAACTTCTGCTCGGATGTGGTGTAGCCTGCTTCCCATTGCTGAGGAGGTTCGTCCAGTGAGATGGCCGCTGCGAGAGTGCTTGCTAGTCCAGGTTGGTAGTTCTCCATGTACTTTGTGCGGGGACCCATGCCTGGCATGTGACCTTCGAGGTTGCAGTGCTGATGATCACCTTGGCATTGGAGAGTCATGGCATTCTGTACGGCCTGCTTGGTCGTCAAGATGGAGGTGCTCTTCCGTGCAGGTCGCCAGACGTTGTCCGTATCCAGACACATGGAGCCGTAGCGACACTGGTCGAAGTCTGCACGTCGGCCAGGAAGATCTCGTAGAGCTCGTGTCTGCCAGGATAAGGCATGCTTGGGTTGCTCAATGTGAGCGTGCCGGCCACCGTGAACCTGTCGAAGGTACACTTTCTTGCTGAACACGAGATGCCGGTCATGATGGAACTGCCTGGCAGCACGAAGAGCTTCGAGTTGTGCTGGAGTGCGTCGACCAAGACTCTGCATGCGACTCCAGAGCTTGCATTCAGGTGCAAGAAAAATTTCGTCAGGGCATTCTTCATCAAGTAGATCCAAGAACTGCTGTTGGTGGGCCAAGCGACTGAAGTCCCAACCAGTCTCCAGCGAGAACTGCCGCACAGTCATGCCCAAGGACTCGGCCACTTGAGACATTCGAGAAGCTCCACAGTAGACTTCCCAGACCACCCTCTTCGTCTCGGAGGGGTGCAACTGCTTGGTGACATAGGCAGAGAGGTCATTCACATGGGTGCGCAGTTGCACCGACATCGTCTTCAAGGTGTGGCCTTTGAGAATCTTCATGTCGTTCTCGAAGTCCGGAACCACCTCATCGAGCATGCTGAAGGCCATTTCTGCTTGCTGGAAGTCGTTCAGGGTCAAACCATCCTCTTGTGCCATGTTTGGCTCAGCAGTGCGAAGGCAGAACTCTGGATTGTCAGGGTCGTAGGTGACGTAGTCGTGCTCTGCAGTGAGTGAGAGGAGGTACTCACCCTGTCGGCCAATGATGGCCTCACACCACTCAGAAGAGCCAAAGCGAATACGCTTCGAGGCAAAGTCCATGGTCGTGCCGAGCGACTCGATGATGGGTCGGCCGCACAGCATGGGCGTGTTGCCCGGCAGCAAGAACAACTGCACCGTGCCGAACTTGCCGTCCAGGAAGACAGGCAAATGGGCACTCCACATTGACCAAGAGGCGGCATCACCACCAAACTGGAACCTTCGTTTGCCTCTCGTCATGGCAATCTTGTCGACCGGGAAATGGCACTCGTCTTGAAGATGCTGAAGGTACCGCCGGAACGGACCGTAACCGGCGAGGAAGGCACTGGCACCTGGGTCCAACATAGTGCAATCCGGTCTCTCATGGCCCAAGTGATCCTCGAAGATGATCATAGTGATCTCATTGTCTATGAGGCGTGCCATACCTTCAGTAGGAGCCGGTCGTTTCTGGCCAGTGGACTTGGATGCAGCTGAGCCTTGAGGACAGTTCGCGGCCCAATGGCCTTGTTGGCCACATCTCAAGCAGGTCATGTTGGCCTTTGCCCTGCCTTTTGGATCGCTCTTGCCACCGCTGGAAGGCGGGTAGCGAATGGTGTTGCTTTTGCCCTTTCCTTTGGTCTTTCCTCCTCCCTTGCCCTTGCCCTTTCGTGATGTTGGACTGGATGACGGAGAGCCGCTACCAGCTGCAAGGGTCTGGTTGTCGGTGAGCGCAACCACAGGGAGGTACCCACGAGCCATCTTGAGCTCGTTGAAGCGACGTCGGGCGTCAGTGTAGGAGGCGAATGCTGTGTCGAATTCTTCGGCCATCTGTTCAGGATCCAGTCCGGTCTCGGAGGAGTCAGGCCACGGTTCATCACCATAGTAGCCAGCATCGTAGTCGAAGTCATAGTTCTCCTCCTCATAGGCCTCTTCGGGGTAGTCATCATCTTCATAGTAACCAGCTTCATCACCCCAATCATCAGCATCCTCCCAGTCATCCTGAGCGGCAAACGCCTTGTTGGAGCCCCACTTCCCAAACTTCTTGTTGCGATCATGGTTCCATCCACCTCCTTTGTAGTCTTGGCCCATGATCAGGTAGAAAGCCTCAATGACGGAGGTCTTTTCCAGGGAAGGGGCTTTGAGCGTCACCAACTGGCGTTGCTCGCGAGTCAACGAAGCTCGCCTCAGCAGATGCCATCCTTGGACAGATTCTGGCAGGGTCACCTTGTGCTGGAGGAGTCGACGGTATGCCTCCTCGTGGTCATTGACGTAGGTCAGCAAGGTTTGACCCGGTGCCCTCTGCAGCAAGTTGAAGTAACCTTCGAAGTCGTTCGGGAGTTGAACCCTCTCGTCATAGGAGAAGTTCCCGTCGAGGACCTTGAGGACTTCCTCAAAAGCTCCGTCCTTCTCCAGGCGTTCCAAGGGCCAATCCTCGAACAGGCGCCAGACCACGCCCTTGAAGGAGGAGACAACATTGATCACGCTCTCGGCTGAGCGTTTGCTCAAGACCATCTTGCGATGGTAAAGCTGGATCCGCTGCCTCCATTCGCGATAGTCTGATGGCTGCCCGCTGAACAGAGGAATAAATGAGTCCCGGATGTCTGCAAACGTAGAATCCTCCTTGGCACTGGAGGATGTCGCCATAGAGCCAGTCGCGGGTGCCGATGTCTTTCTTTGATGCTGTTGCCGGTGCCGTTGACCAGACATCCAAAGGGAGCCAAAGTCCGGCCAGACCACTCCACCCCGCAGGGTCTCCAACAAAGAACTCAGCAAGCAGGAGTGTGAAGGTCTCGGCAAGGGGTTGGTGACAAAGGGCTTATCCCGGGCGATCTGCTCGGCGGTGCGAAGTGCGCAGCTGGAGCCTCCCTGGCGGGGAGGCTCCGCTACCAATGCGAAGACACTAGTGGTACACGAAGTCCACAAAGTGGGTGCGAGAACAGCGAAAGCAAGAACCGCGATCGCCCTCGACAAACAGCAAGCGCGCGCGAACGCGCGACGGACCGAGCCAGCTTTTGGCAGCATGAGCCCACCCTGCGGTGGGGGTCAGGTAAAACATGTCTCAAACACAGTGCACAGCGTGCACTTCACAAGTAACAAAAAGCAAACGCTGTTGCTAATGATTCACCAAGTCTTTGCGGCTCAGTCCTCGCCCTAAGGACTCAAAGCCGTTGCTTCCTTAGTTCAAGTGGGCACCCTCAAGAGGTTTACTATTCCTTTGCTTTCCTCGGTGCTTTCCTTTGCTTCTTTAGACCTTTACACCTGTCCTTTGCCTTTTCTATATATATATACTTCTCTCTCTATTCAACGCCTTTGAGCAAATTTGACAGTGGCATTGGCAATGAGTGCTTTCCGAAACCTTCGACTCATGAAAGACATACCGTTGGGCTACTGTGAGGCAGGCACAGTCTGTGTGATGGTCCCAGCAGCATCCATCAATGCTGTGTCTATCCACCCTTCTCGTTTATACTTACCAGAACGTAAGAGTTCTGGGTCTTGGCCTCTGCCTTCTCTGTAGTATCACCATCTAACAAACAGCCTTCAATCGTATCTTAGCCTAAACTTTATCCTACTATGTGGCAATAAGAACTCCATAGGTTGGAGGCCATCGCTACTAGGTTCTCCACATATGTCAGCCAGACTTCGGTGCGTCAGGCGCAAACCACTGGGCGCAGTATGTGCATCCTCGCGCGAATTTGAGCTAAAGCCGGTGGCTTCCAAAAGCGCTTGCTCCTAGGCAAGCATCGCCACACTTCCGGGGATGTGCAGTTTGACCTTTGCAAGAGTTGTTTTTTCTGTTCGCTGGATTTCTTTTATTAAAGCTTGTGTTCCTTTTTCTGTACACCTTTCTTGCTTGTTTGTTCCTTTAGACATGTCTTCTTTGTTCTTAAAAGCCTTGTCCTTTTCTCTTCAATCCGTGGTCTCTTTTTCCTTGTCTCTGTTCTTTAAGACTGTTCCTTTCTTCTGTAGACCTTTCCTCCTTTTTACTTGAGACTCTTCTTCAATTTGTCCTTCTTCCTTCCCTTTTTCCTAAATGTTGATTTTGTTGATACTTTTCATATGTTTGTCTGCTCTTTGTTCTTCAACCTTTATTCCTTTTTTCCTCTGGACTTTCTTCCTTTTATTTCACTTTATTCAAAAATAGGCATCGCCACACTTCCGCAGAGTTTGCGCCCTGGATAGTTTTTTCCGTTGGGTCCTTCCGGAGCAGCTTTGAGCGCATTTCAGCCATCTCCAACTGGTGCTCTTTCAATGCACTTTCAGCATCCTGCCATGGTGAGATGAGACAAAGCTGGTGCACAGCTACATCTCATCGCGAAAAACAACGTCACAAAAAACCAAGCCTTCAACATGATGCGGTTGGATATGTTGCAAACATGCCATGTTCAACTGCATGTGAGGCGTTCATTCCCAATTGCGCTACCTGTTTGAGTGCTAAGCGGGGTCACCAGGCCCAGGCAGTCCTGTCTCCTCTGGCACTCTTGCTGCCAATCTCTTTGCTTGCGTTCTGCGGTGCTTTGAGCGGTGGTCAGCATTGCATTGAGCTGCTTCTCGACACCACCTGCAGTGAACAAATTCTGTCTTGATGGAGCGTCGTATGGAGCCGCTTCGAATCAGAATTAGTTCATCTACGGCGAGCATCCTTGCAGGTACACTTCACGTCTCTGAACAGCTTTGCAAATACAAGGAACAAGTGCATCGCTAGTAGTAACAAGTGCCTTACTAGTGGTTACAAGTGCCTTACTAGTAGTTACAAGATTCTCTTATAGTAGTGCCGCTGGTGACAAGGTATCTCGTCCAGGCAACCCTTCACACCAAAAATGTCAACGCTGGTGATCGTGCCTCTCAGTGCCTCCATCGCTGCCTCCGTATCCCGGGACAAATTCTGGAGTTGAGCTTCTAAACGGAGGAGGCCCTCCTTGCCAATTTGGGCTTCACACGCACTCCAGAAAGTTTGAAGCCTGTTTTGGCAACAGCCGTCTGCAAATGTCAAATGTACATGCTGTCATGGCCTAAAAATGTCTAAAAGTGAGGTCTGCTTAGCCTGCTTGACACCAAGGCAATTAAAGCATTACATCACCAGCGTTCCCCGAAATCAAGGAACCAAATATCATTCGTGCGAGCGCTATCCTGCGTCCAGTGGCTAGAAACTTAATTACCTCCTTACAGTACTTAATTAACTAGGCGCCTACTTAATTAACGAAAGAAGCTAGTAGTAACAAGTGCCTTACTAGTAGGAACAAGTGCATCGCTACCAGTAACAAGTGCCTTACTAGTAGGAACAAGTGCATCGCTAGTAGAAACAAGTGCATCGCTAGTAGTAACAAGTGCCTTACTAGTAGGAACAAGTGC